AACTTTGCTTTCTCAAAAAACGCATTAAAATTCAACGGAACAACAGCACGGGCCATCTATCTACAATCAACATAGACAAGCAAGATACTATCAGGTACTAAGTTCATGATAAATTTAAGTTCAATTAATCAAATTACTTAAGAACTCCCACTTAGATAGATATCCCTCTAATCCTCTAAGTGATCACGTGATCCAAATCAACTAAACCATGTCCGATCATCACGTGAGATGGAGTAGTTTCAATGGTGAACATCACTATGTTGATCATATCTACTATATGATTCACGCTCGACCTTTCGGTCTCCGTGTTCCGAGGCCATATCTGTTATATGCTAGGCTCGTCGAGTTTAACCTGAGTATTCCGCGTGCGCAACTGTTTTGCACCCATTGTATTTGAACGTAGAGCCTATCACACCCGATCATCACGTGGTGTCTCAGCACGAAGAATTTTCGCAACGATGCATACTCAGGGAGAACACTTATACTTTGATAATTTAGTGAGGGATCATCTTATAATGCTACCGTCAATCAAAGCAAGATAAGATGCATAAAAGATAAACATCACATGCAATCAATATAAGTGATATGATATGGCCATCATCATCTTGTGCTTGTGATCTCCATCTCCAAAGCACCTCCATGATCACCATCGTCATCGGCGCGACACCTTGATCTCCATCGTAGCATCATTGTCGTTTCGCCAATCTTATGCTTCTATGACTATCTCTATCGCTTAGTGATAAAGTAAAGCATTACAGGGTGATTGCATTGCATACAATAAAGCGACAACCATATGGCTCCTGCCAGTTGCCGATAACTCAGTTACAAAACATGATCATCTCATACAATAAAATTTAGCATCATGTCTTGACCATATCACATCACAACATGCCCTGCAAAAACAAGTTAGATGTCCTCTACTTTGTTGTTGCAAGTCTTACGTGGCTGCTACGGGCTTAGCAAGAACCGTTCCTACCTACGCATCAAAACCACAACGATAGTTTGTCAAGTTGGTGTTGTTTTAACCTTCGCAAGGACCGGGTGTAGCCACACTCGGTTCAACTAAAGTTGGAGAAACTGACACCCGTCAGCCACCTGTGTGCAAAGCACGTCGGTAGAACCAGTCTCGCATAAGCGTACGCGTAATGTCGGTCCGGGCCGCTTCATCCAATAATACCGCCGAACCAAAGTATGACATGCTGGTAAGCAGTATGACTTATATCGCCCATAACTCACTTGTGTTCTACTCGTGCATATAACATCAACGCATAAAACCTGGCTCTGATGCCACTGTTGGGGAATGTAGTAATTTCAAAAAAATTCCTATGCACACGCAAGATCATGGTGATGCATAGCAACGAGAGGGGAGAGTGTTGTCTACATACCCTCGTAGACCAAAAGCGGAAGCGTTAGCACAACGCGGTTGATGTAGTCGTATGTCTTCACGATACGACCGATCAAGTACCGAACGTACGTCACCTTCGAGTTCAACACACGTTCAACTCGATGACGTCCCTCGAACTCCGATCCAGCCGAGTGTTGAGAGAGAGTTTTGTCAGCACGACGGCGTGGTGACGATGTTGATGTTCCACTGACGCGGGGCTTCGCCTAAGCACCGCTACAGTATTATCGAGGTGGACTATGGTGGAGGGGGGCACCGCACACGGCTAAAAGATCAACTTGACCAATTGTTGTGTCTTTGGGGTGCCCCCTTGCCCCTGTATATAAAGGAGCAAGGGGGGTGCGGCCGACCAGGGAGAGGGCGCGCCAGGAGGAGTCCTACTCCCATCGGGAGTAGGACTCCCCCCTTTCCTAGTTGGAATAGGATCTGTGAGAAGGAAAGAGAGAGGGGAAGAAGGAAAGAGGGGGCCGACCCCCCTTGCCCTAAACCAATTCGGTTTGGGCCTTGGGGGGCACCCCACACTCCCCTTGTTTCCCTCTATTTCCACTAAGGCCCATATAGGCCCATTAAGCTCCCGGGGGGTTCCGGTAACCTTCCGGTACTCCGGTAAAATCCCGATTTCACCCGGAACACTTCTGATATCCAAACATAGGCTTCCAATATATCAATCTTCATGTCTCGACCATTTTGAGACTCCTCGTCATGTCCTTGATCACATCCGGGACTCCGAACAACCTTTGGTACATCAAAACATATAAACTCATAATATAACTGTCATCGTAATGTTAAGCGTGTGGACCCTACGGGTTCGAGAACTATGTAGACATGACCGAGACACGACTCCGGTCAATAACCAATAGCGGAACCTGGATGCTCATATTGGCTCCCACATATTCTACGAAGATCTTTATCGGTCAAACCGCATAACAACATACGTTGTTCCCTTTGTCATCGGTATGTTACTTGCCCGAGATTCGATCGTCGGTATCTCAATACCTAGTTCAACCTCGTTACCGGCAAGTCTCTTTACTCGTTCCGTAATACATCATCCCACAACTAACTCATTAGTTGCAATGCTTGCAAGGCTTAAGTGATGTGCATTACCGAGAGGGCCCAGAGATACCTCTCCGACAATCGGAGTGACAAATCCTAATGTCGAAATACGCCAACCCAACAAGTACCTTTGGAGACACCTGTAGAGCACCTTTATAATCACCCAGTTACATTGTGACGTTTGGTTGCACACAAAGTGTTCCTCCGGTAAACGGGAGTTGCATAATCTCATAGTCATAGGAACATGTATAAGTCATGAAGAAAGCGATAGCAACAAACTAAACGATCAAGTGCTAAGCTAACGGAATGGGTCAAGTCAATCACATCACTCTCCTAATGATGTGATCCTATTAATCAAATGACAACTCATGTCTATGGCTAGGAAACATAACCATCTTTGATCAACAAGCCAGTCAAGTAGAGGCATACTGGTGACATTCTGTTTGTCTATGTATTCACACATGTATTATGTTTCCGGTTAATACAATTCTAGCATGAATAATAAAAATTTATCATGATATAAGGAAAAAAATAATAACTTTATTATTGCCTCTAGGGCATATTTCCTTCAGAAGGAACCCCTTGCTCTGTGGCGTTACTGAACCGCAGTAGCCGTCGACTCTCTAGAGCCGGATCTGACCCAAAGTCTTCCATCGACCAGGGATAGCGACCACATTGTCAGCGCTCCCCGAGCTCCTCCACCACTAGGCTTGGGGACGATGCCATTTCCGTCTCACGGTGGGCGACCAGTCCCTTCCACCATACGCCAGATCCAGTGCCAGCCTACAACTCCATCCATCCAAGTAGGTCGCCTTCAACACCATGATCTCCTACATCTTTGAACGAACCCCACTGCAAAAGACACCATCTCCTCACACGGGCCCAGTGCCTTGCAGAAGCACACCACTAGAGCAAGGGTGGAGTGGGAGGGACCAGACACCCACAAGCTCCCCGCAAGAGAAACATGTCTGATGAAACGCGGCCGGAGCCGTGGTGATTTTATCCTCACGTGGCATCGTTGGTGGCATCTCAACGACACCACCAGGAACCTACCTACACGCACGTGCTTCCACGGGGCTCCCCCACCCCCTGAGGCTGTGGCGTTCATCAGAGGCGAGGAGGAGCGACGAGGTCACCGGCGGAAGGACTGGGGAACGAGGACTCCCCTGATTCGCTCCTCGCGTTCTGTGGACGGTTTGAGAGAAGACGAGGGGAACCAGTCCACCCCACTGCAAGATATGATGTTGTGTTACTAGTTTTTTTTGTAAACCTAGCATTAAAATGGGTCGGACCATGCTATCTAGTGAGGAATGAGGCCTATCATTAGACCACTAGGCCATATCCCTCAACAGAGCAGAGTGGCCATCGGGCACCGGTCCGGGCCAGAGCGGGCCGGCCCATTCCCATCCTAGTCTTACATAAATTGACCCAACTCTACTAAGCTCCACATGAATCCTTATTTTTTTTCCGAAAAAACTAACGTCCACACGTGTGGCATCTTGCACATCGTCCATACGCCTCCATCACCACTCATTTTGCCACGTACAAACAGATGACATCAGCAGGAATATTTTTGGTTTCGGCTTCTTGCACATCGTCCACACGCCTCCATCACCACTCATTTTGCCACGTACAAACAGATGACATCAGCAGGAATATTTTTGGTTTCGGCTTAAAAATGTTTTATCCCCTAATCAAAAAATCGAATTAAAAATCCGTTTTCACCATTAAATCCGTCTCGACGAGATCTTCAATCTAGACCCATGTTGATATGTTTTGACGAATTTTTTTGCTTAAAATTTGCTATGATGTTTACACTGTAGTTGCCATAATGCTTAAACTAAAGTTGCCATGTGACAATTTTAGTTTTTTTATGATAGCAATTCCAGTACTTTGACCATGAAAATTATTTTTTGTATGAACCATGACAATTTTAAGTGCATGTATCATGACAATTTTAATTTATTGTTCATGGCAAGTCTAGTTTCTTAATTTCCCGTTTTATAATATGTCAAAATTTATTTTTAAATGTAGAAGAAAATAGCTGAAAATATCATGGCAACTTAAGTGTAAACATCATGATAATTCATATGCAATAGACATGGCAACTTTTAATCCCAAAAAAATCGTCAAAATATATTGATATAAGATCTAGTTTGGAAAATCTCGTCGTGAGAGATTTTATGATGAAAACGGATCTTCAATCGGATTTTTCATTTAAGAGGTAAAACGTTTTAAAAACTGAAAATCTAAAAAGATTCCCACATGCATACGGTGCCGTGGCGCAGTTTATGTGTTATAGGGCGTGTGAGCGGATTTGCCTTCCACCACACGTGTGGGCGTTAGCTTTGTCATTTTTTTACTAAGCTCCACAGGTTTGGCAAATATGTGCCAAAATTGACTTAAACCATGAGAAGTTCACATATCAAAAAGTACAAAAGCGTCCAAATTACTCGTGAAAGCCAGCGTCTATCGCCAGTTTGCCACCATTAAACCCATTCACCCCTTTCCTAAGCCCTCCCCGCTCCCACCCGACCCCTCGACCATGTCCCCCAGGAAGGACGCCGGCCCCTCGCCGGCGGCGGCGCCCGCCACCGCGCCTGCCCTAACGCCTTCCCCATTCATGCCCATGTGTCAGATGCGGCGGGATGAGTGCGCAGACCTCCTCAAGCTGATCTCAGGCGTCTCGCGCCCGCTCGAGGACGTCGTGGCGGATTTCCTCGCCCGCGTCCCGCCCGAGCGCCGCCTCCGCTTCGGTTCCGCCATCAAGTTTCTCCTCGAGGCAAGCCGTTGCAGCCCTCGCCCTGAACCCGCCCACCCCCTTCATCTGCATACTCCCTCCGTATACGTAGTTTAATCGCCGTTTTGCTTGGCCGGTTGGCCCCGGGCTGTGGAGTGTCAGGCGCATAGGTTTCTAGGGTTTTTTTTTTGGGGCAGGTCGGTATTCTTGTTGATGGAGGTTTGGAACTGGGATGGGCGTGGTGGTAAACTCTGCAGCGACGGGTACGGTTTTTGTGTGAGAATTTCAAAGTTCAGTTAGATTCTAAGGCGACTATGTGGTAGTTGTTTTTGGAAATTCATGTCAGTCTGCGAAATTCTGTAGTTCTGGCTGCTCTGTCTGGGTTTTAATGGATTGAAGGGTCGGGCCGAAGATTAAGATTCTGTATTCCAGTTCCCTTTTGAAAATTAAATCCCTGATTGTATTAGGGCAGAGTGCAGTGGATAAACCAATTCTTGCGACACTGTCAACACAAATGAGAAAAACAAAACACAACTCTGCAATTGTGGACACGAGGCTGAACCACGAAGCTTAGGAACTGTATACATGCTCCTTTTGTTGCTTCAACCATGTAGGCATCCTGTGGTCACTGAAGATGTGCGAAGGATTGAGCCATTCTGTTCTTACTCGATGGGAGGCATAGCTCCGAAGTGCGAGCTACCATGCACCCTTCGCTTTTGACTTAAACCTTCGGTAAGTGGTGTTGCAACACAGCCTTGGACGAACAGCGAATATGAAGGCTTCATAGTGGTCTGGACTCACCGGCCCTTGAGATTGAAGGTCGATATGGTTAGGAAGATGTCATAGAATACCATATGCTGGCACTGAACCAAAAAGCCCTCAATTGGGGTTCTCGGGGAGCTCTGGAGAAAAAAGATGGAAAATGAAAGAGTTCAAGAGAAGAATCGAGATGTAGACATTCCTGAACTCGTAGATCTGAATTCTTCTTCCCCTTTTACTGAAATCATCTGACAACATCATGAGCAACTAGGGAAGATAGCAGACCAGATAGTGGAACCAGGGTTGATTATTAGAGTTTACGTTGGCTACATCTTTTTCCATTTGACACATCAAACTGCTTGACTGAATGCCTATTTGGTACTTCTGGTTTTAGATTTTGAGTGAGATGTTAGTATATTGGTGGCCTGGTGAAGTGTTTGTAGTGTTTGTCACGCGAACCACCATGAGGAGTAACGTAAGTTGTTCGTGTTTCCTGTGTAGTGTGTGTGCTGTGTTATTTGGCTTTTGTCACTTTACTGCGTAACTCATTTGCCAATTTGCTTCTCCTGTTAGTGAAAAGACATGCTAACACTTCTTTCCATGTTCTTTAAAAAACCTGTGAAATCATTATGGTATAGGGTTTTTATGAACTTAGCAAGGTTCCACTGGCAATTATCAGCGAATAATATATTAGTATGGTTAAAAGAGGCACATTGTTATCATTTTCAGCTCATAGCAATTAGTTCTCCTTTTCATGTGCTTATTGTTTTCTAGGTTCTGGGTGTTGGATTATTTCAGGATCACAGTTCGCATCTTTGATGGTTGGTTCAGGAGAAAATATTATGTTGTTTTCAGTGTCGAAAGGACTCAAATTATCATCTTTTTCTTCTTCCCAGTTTCAGTGGGTCTGTTACTGATGCTTTTTTTGCACTTTCAGTGGTGGTGCTTGAATTTTGACTGAATTTGTTTGTCAGAATCATTGATAGTTGGTTTCCATCTCTCACTAGGTTTTCTTCTGAATTTCTAATAATAGCAGCCCTGCTGACAAGGCTGACTGTGATTAATAGGATTTTAGGTCAGCTTTCTTATGGATGGTACTGAATGAAGGATTAAACTTGTACTATTTACTAATTATCTGTCCTGATAACAGAAGTGCATTTGTCTTATTAACTAAGTAATTAAGAATTTAAGATACATATCTGAATCATTGTTTTTTGTATTATTGTCTTTGGTAGAATTAGTAGGGTTTAGGTCGTCTTTGGAATTACCAAATTGCCGATAAGTATGTGGATTTGCTTCCCTTTTTCCCATCATTTTTGCTTGGAATTATACCTTTGATTTGATGTGTTATATACTTGACTAGGATCTAGCAGTCCCTTTGTATAAGTTGATAGTGAAATGTAGTGCTTGGCTGCTTGAATTCACTTATATAAACGTAGCAAATCGTGTTCTTGAAAGGTTTCTAGGACCTTTGTGGCACCTACAGCGACTTGTTTACATGAAAATATTGAATTTTGTCCCAATTTTTGCATTTGGAAAATGATATGTATGCAGATATGAGAGGTTTCCAAAACAAGTGCATTTCATATCTAGGTGTCTATTTCTGCAAGCATTTCATAAAATTTTGCACTCAAAGACCTTCTGTTAATCATACTAACAATATTTCATTTGCTGTTCTCCTCTTTCTGGAATATGTTCTATTAGTGAAGGGAAACTGAAAATCAGGATTTTATTTATGCCACTTTGTTCCTTTTCCAGGACAAGGTGATGTTTCAACCAGCTGAGCGTTTAATTGCATTTGCAATTCTTCATCAAGGGTATTCCTCACAGCTGACAAATCCGTTTGTTCCATTCTTAATAAATGTAAGTTGTAAACTTTCTGTCTATACATTGTGCTTTTCATTGAGGAATAAAGCCATACATCTGCATTAACGTGTGCATGAAGTTCGCATTGGGGTTGTTTATCCTTTTCTTTTTTGATTGAGACAAAGTTGACGGGAAGTGATTTCAATGTGCGCTGTTTTGATTATTGTGAAATTATCACAAATAGCTCCACTTCGTTCCACTTCACAATCGACTTAGCGCAGATTTCTTTTGAACTGTTTAATGGGTTTGTGCTAGTAATTGCACTGCTGATACACTGATGTTGCATTCATCATTAGTCATGGCACTGCAACATTGAATAGTCATTTAATCATTATACAAATGAATTAAAGATTAAACTTCAGAACATGCTGCAAAAATTCACCAAGAGCAAGCACCATGCTGGACTTATTTGGAACCCTAAAAGAAGCATCTTAAGATTTAAATGAATTGGGGCCCAACTAGGCTATGATCTGTGCTTTTTATTCTGAACTATTGTTTCGCCTTGCTTATGTGCTTGTGATTCTCTTAGTATCAGTAGAGTTGGAACATGAAAATTGCTTTTTATTATGTCGATTAGTTACCATCTGCACCACAAATTCATCATCAATCATGGTAGATTATTACTTTTAGAGATACCCACTATTTCTCCTAGTTGAAGTCTGAAGGAGATTTTATGTACGGAAGTACATGCCATATGGCAAAGATATCAGCTCCCAGTTATGGGATAGAAGATTCCCATTCCCTTGTTTAGGTAGTTTATCATTTAAATTAGCAAAGTACCATCTAGCTTGGGCCTTAAGCCAATAAGTGATAAGATGTATGAATTGTTACTTAGATTGGAATCTTAGGCCTCTATATAAAGAGGACCTTCTGTGGGGGAGTTAATCAAGCAAGAAAATAGAAGAATACTTCTTCAATCTTGACCCTGGGGCGAGGTTCCCTTCCCTGCCTCTCCCGGAAATCTTAGTTCAGAAAAGAAGTCATCATGAATCATGATATTATAGCATAACAGTTAGAGCTACCTAGTACTCACTATTTCTCTAATTTGAACTCTCGTATAGTCCTATACTCTTTTAGTCAACTCTACAATCCAGTTATGTCAGAATAGCATTAATCCTTCCTAGGGTTCCGATTCTGACCATCTAATTTTGCTTTTACAGGTTGCCTGTGATGAAATTTCTGAGAGACCAGAACGTGTTTTTCTCCAGCTTTTGCTAACTTCAGCTAATGAGGACAACAATAAGGAGGTATTCTCATGATGTATGTTTTCTAGTTTAATTACTCCCTCCATTCCTAAATATATGACGTTTTGGTAGTTCAAACATATTTAGGAATGGAGGGAGTGCATGATTGCTGAGATATGGGAAAGAAATACTGGAATAGTGCAGAGGAACTTGACAATATGCATGTACTTTTCCCAATGTATAATAGTATGCTGACATCAGTGTACACATGTACAAATTCACAAAATGTGTATAAAAGTATTTGGAGGTAGCTAATACGAGATAAAAGTTATTGATATCCCAATTGGGAGGTGCCAAGTTAATAGCCTAGTTCAGCTAAAAAAAAGTCAATAGCCTAGTTGTTTGCTAAATGGATTTAAATGTGTTTGAACGTGAGAAACTATATTTAATAGACTGCTGTGCTTTTGTCTGGCCTTTGGAAAATGTGCTGCCACAGTGTCACAAGTGCAAGTTTCTAAGACTGGAGATGCCAGATACTTGCTGAACGGTAATTTGGTGACCATCAGAACTCAGAAGTGGTAAACTGGCAATGCAGTGTAGACAGAATCATTTTGTGCTCTCATGGACTGATAGTCATTTTGTTCGGATTGTAGTTTTTTTACCTTGCTGGGATCCAAATTGTGGATCCACCATTACCAAACTTATGATGAATTTTGTTATCCTATGTTCAGATCTTGAAACAGTCTGCAGAAGATTACTTGAAGGAGCCTTCTTATGCATCTCAGGTAGATGATTGTACTGTCATATAATTATTCTGAAACTGAGTGAACACAGTTGATAGAAAAAATACACCCAGTATACATGTAGAATTTTTTTGTTCAGAAGATAATTCTCTTTTATAGGTGTTGCTGCCAAAAGACCGTCTTGAAAGCCAATACTCCTGCAATGATGTTCAGCTACAGACATACACCAGTTGCGCAGCTGCTACGGTTAGAAGTGCTATTCCTGACCCAGATGTTTCCCAAAGCTGTGGTGATTCATCAGGGTACATAGACTCAACTACTCTCTCTGTGCAATGATTGTTGAAGGGCATTCATAGCGTATAGTTCATTTTCCCCTTCTATTTGTCTGATTATGAATTAAGTTTTCCTCTCATTATGTCTAGAATATCACCGACCAAACTAAATAGAGATAATGTGGTGACGAATTTACTTCAACAAACACCACTGAGAGGATTGTCTCCTCCATGGATTAGGCCCTCTCCCCCCAGACTTGAAATACTTGAAGGGGAGGTAAGATTGTCGGTTAAGAGATGTAAATTGTTTATTCATATTACCTCTATTTCTAAACATAGACGCAATTCTCGATGAAATTACAGTTGCAGTGGTTGAACCTGGACAACAACCATGAGCTACTATGGGATAGTAGCATGTGTGCTGACACTAGCCGAGGAGCTTCAATCCGTGATTTGGTCGGAAGAGCCTGTAAAGGACCACTTGCCCCTGCCCAACAAGAGGTTTTCTTCTACCCCTATTTTCAAATGTATATGTTTTTTAGGATGGCCTAGGTTATGCATACATGTGGTATACTTATGGGTATGCTTCTACTGCTGGACGACAGTTCCAAAATATGTGAGCATGTTTTTATATTGAAGGACTAAATATATATTAGAGATGACTTGTTCTTGAGTAGTTCCCTGTCATTTCCTTGCTGTGATATTTGCATTTCATCTAGTTCCCTGTCATTTCCTTGCTGTGATATTTGCATTTCATCTAGTTCCCTCTCATTTCCTTGCTGTGATATTTGCATTTCTTCTAGTAACACTACCGGGTCTTTCCAATAATGATCCCAAAGAGGTTCAGTGGGATCATGAATTTGCAGAGAGGAGGTTGCAACAGAATCTCCTCCTTCCACACTTTTACTTGTATTTGCAGCTGCCGTTATCCACTAGCAGGATCCAAGCATAGTCTAAATCAGGAACCATATTAATTCGTGACACTGGTATCACCTTTCACAACAATATCACTCTGTAACTCTGGTCCCAGCAATATGGGGAAATCAGGAAAAAGTCGCAATGGACTTGGGGTGCTACTGTGGATTACCCTTCCCTGCTCCTTGGGTTCTTGCACTCCTAATGCTGGGCTGTGTTTGAAACACTTAACATCCTTCCATTTTGCTAAATATTGTAGTCGAAATGATCCCTGAGCTATTCTGTTTTGGTTCAATAGAGCCTATATTTCGTTACTTTTGTTAATGACATTGTCATGTGGCAATCAAGTCTTGCACACGATGTCTCCACCAATTGAACACGAATCTGTTGGCACCGGAACCTTCTGCCAGAACCACCGGCTGCCCCTCATCACGGTTGCCTCTCACAACACACGCAAAGAAAAGAGACACAAGTGGTTTTGGTGGCCGGCTGCCTCACACAGCCAACCCTTTTTCTTCTCTATTTCACTTGGCTCAAAACAACCATGAGTACAAGTTCTTAACTAGTACACGCACGCACACAGCCCAGCGGCCACACCAGCCACTAAGCCATGCACACACACACACACTATCTAACCACTAACTACATGCACTACAGGCACGCCCACGGACACCACTCGTGTCGCTTCTTCTCAACAGCCACACAACCCGGCTAAGCAGGCTAACAAACTAACTCACTGGTTCTCTCAGCTCTAACTACCTTGTCTAGCCGGTCAGGCTCCAACCTCTCACGCGCTTGCTGCATCACACAGCTGTACCGCCTCACGCCGCCATCGGCATCTCGCCGTGCTTGCTGTATCACACGTCGGCTTGGCATCTTGCCTTCCGCATGCCTCCGCTGAAGATTCGCCGGACTAGCTACTCCCTAACTTATGCTACATGCATAACGAAGACAAACTAAATATGTAGGCACAAAACATCAAGATTAGTGCTAACAGAACCCGCTTGGGTTGGACATTGTAATTTTGTATTTTTGATGCAAATGATCTGTAGATTCCCGCATTTTAGCATGTGCAGCCATCTGGTTGGAGAGACACCTTGTGAGCAGAGCCAATGCCGAAAAGTGGATAAGGCCCACAAATATCAAGCGACCTATGCTCTATACATACTCCCTTCTCCCTCCTGCCTCTTCTTTCTTAAGTGAAGCCACTGCCTACTGTTATGCTGTCCCTAACAAGAATGGACAAATTTGCCTAGGGCATGCTAGGCAAGCGCCATTTTGATCTAGTGTGAAGCAGGAATACACCCTGCAATTGTGGTTCTGAGACGGCTATTGAGCTGATTCATGTAGTGAGCTGAGAAAGTAGTCGGTGAGACAAGATAACTGGCAACAATAGTGATATCTTTGCCGTAAAAAAAGTACAAGGTATGCGTAGATGATTGCCGAACCTTAGTTTGTATGTCTGAGTTTGCAATTTTACTAGATGAACCCTTTGAAATTGTTTTGAGTAAAGGGTGGCTGATATACAATAGGCAAAACAGATACATAATATTAATTTTGTATTATTCAGTTTTATGATTTGGAAAATTGTTCTTGATCCCATGAGATTTAGAGCCACAGCAACATAAACCACTGACGCTCAAGGGATTATGCTGTCACAACTCTAAACCTCAATGGACAAAGTATATATTTTCTTATGATTTCTGTGCATTTCAGTTGTATTTTCTACATATGTAAATTTATTGATAGTTCAGGGCCTGTTTTATTTGAAATAATTTGGAATTACTGGAGGTTAACCAAGTCATAACTGACACAAATGAAAAAAGGGGTCTAAAACAGAACAGCTATAAAAGAAGTTTGAAGAGATTTAGAAAAGAATGGGATATAATAATTATAAAGAAGGACCCCATTCTGACCATTCAACCTTTCATGAGGGCGATGCAATTATGTGCAGAAGTTACACTAAAATGCTAGTTCACACCCAATATTTCAAGCAGCAAGTTGTACAATAGTAGCAACTACAATCAGCAATGTTTTCTTATAGTGGACATCACTAGTACTGATATTTGTTAGAACATGCTCGGCTTTATTAGAAAAGTTGAAGGCAAACACTCTAAATTGATAGCGCTTATAATGATTATGCATCTGTGTTAGTGTTGGTCTGTTGGCCACCTCAGCGTGGTTGTGTTGCAATTGTTATCATCATTTTGTAGGATCCTACTATTACATCCTCATTGCTTATCTTTCATGTTCAATATACGGAATATCCTACTCCTTAAAGCTTTATTTTTCTTGTCTAATGCTAATATTTAGAATATATGTCATACCAGAAATGTATAGTCCCACCTGTTACGGATAAGCTCTTCGGCAAGACCTACAGCAGGCGCAAGTGGAGAGGTGGTAAAAAGGCGGGAGAACCATAGGGTTGTGGCTAGCGACGAATTTGAAAAATCAGAATTGTTGTCACCAGAAATATTTAGTAATTTGATACCAAGTTTTAATACTCGATTATATTAGCATAATGGTAGGACTCCCCTACTAAGGAGACTTGTATGTTGTCAACAATTAAAAGTTTACCAACGCACGCGGAATTAAAAGTTTACCAAAATTGATATCTTTCTCTCCATTAGTTGACTGACATGACCAATTAGCTGAAAAAGGACCATCCTTGGTTGAGGTCTGTTATGGCTTGTGGTGAGTGGATTGGAGGTGAAGAACATGATCAGCAAGCTCTACTCATGCCGATGCCGGTGAATGCATGCAACGAGACTGTGATGTCTTTAGTATTGGGTTCATGTTGATCTCCCTCACCATCAAGCTCCAGCTAAGAGACCCTGACCGTACAACAGTGGTTTATGTCGAACAATTTGAGGCGATACTCCACCAACTTCACAAGTCAACTGTTTGAAGAGCCACGTGGGTGCCATGATTCTGTGTATGCCAGGCTAGCATCATGACTGTCAAGCCAATGTGTCCATTCATGTTGGTGAGTGCACGGTGACATGATCAAGCTTGGCGGTTGTTCCCGAAAACTCGGAACCCTCGTTGCTTGGCCTGACGGTAGGGGCAACAATTAGCTCTGACACCCAAATTGATGGGCTTATGGCTGATGTGTGAAGCAATTCGAGGATGAACAAGATAATAGGTTTTCCATGCGATTGCTAGAAACATTGCTTGCCCTCCTGTACACACTGGGAACTGTTTCCAGCCCCGACAGGGCTCCAAGGCAAATGCGAGGGAGGGGTTTCTTTGGTATTTCTTGCTTAACATTCCTTCATGATGCCATCCCTTTATATAGAAGGGTTTCAACTAAAGACCAAATGCATCTTATTTCCTAATCTGTCTCTAATTCTTAAAACCTATAGAACGCAAACTCATGCTTGCCAGTTTCAGTGCCTATATA